TCGCGCGTGTCCCTCCCTCCCCGCCGGCCGCTTCATCGGCGAAGAGGTATGGCTTTGCCGAAAAGGGCGGCACAGGAGGACACGGGCTCGCAAGAGAGCCCCGGAGGGATGGCGGTTCACGTTCATGCAGGAGAAGTGCTGAAGAGCTGATGCAGGCAAGTGCTTCCCAGGCAGGGAGCTGCCGCGCTGCCTGCACACCGCTTCACGGCCGCATTCGGCCGCAGAAAGTTTTCCGGCACAAAACCCACCGCAAAGACCTTTTTTCCCCGTGTAGCAAAACAGAAAAGACCAAGGGCATGGATCTCGCCCGTGCTGCAGCTGTGCCAGCTCCGCCGACGTGCTATTTTCTCCCTGGCCCTTCGCAGAGATGCTCGCCCTGCGTCCCCGCGCGGGATTTCTCCGCCTGCGCTGCCCGAAGCGGCCCCGCTTGGGCAGCCGTCCCTCTCCCCGCTGCGGACGGCGGCTCCCCACGCTGGCACAGCAGCGGGCTTCCAGAGCTGACAGAATTTGACACCTATTTTTCTTGCCCTTCCTGAAAGATCTTGGCCACACTCTGCTCCAGCTGCCTCTTATACATTGACTTTGAAAATATATCAGTATTTAATTTAAGGGACATCTTTATAATTAAGACCTTGGCCTATTTCCCATTTTGAAATCCTAAGACTGTTGCTTAGTGTCATTTACATTCAGCCTTCTCCTCCAAAGCTTGCTAAAACGAGTCGATGGTTTAACCGACTGTTTTTTCCTCTTCCTAGTTTCTCCATCACACGACTCTTGTGGAGAAGTTTTCCCCATCGAGCTGAAGAAAGCCCAGCTCTGCTTCAAGAAGCCAGCGATGTCTTGTGTAAGAAGCACCTTAAAATGCAGAGCCTGGATGGGGTCCAGGAACCGACGCCAGTGGTTTTTTTTCTGTTTTGATAAATGGGGTGAGAACCACCCGTGCCCAGCAGCAAGTCGCAATGACGCCCAAACATTGCCACTGAGCGAACCCTTGGGGTCTCGGGGTCACTTTGCTGCTAACAGAAGGCGCAGGCTTATTTTCAAAGTCGTTAAAGTGGCCGTTTTTATGTTGCAATTAAGCCTGCCCCCCTCCCCCAGCCTACAACAGCACTTCCCAAAGGTGCAGCCGAAACCAGACCGCAGGGCTATTTGGAAAACCAGCGGCGGGAGGAAGGATTCGCCTAGCCACAGCTCCGAGCAAGGGCTAACGGGCGGCGGAGGGAGGTGGGCAGGTCCTTGCTCGCACCAGCACATAGACACACCGTATTTCAATACGTTTGATCTTTTGGGAGCCTCAGCCCAAAAAGCCAAGGGTGGGGATTGTTTTGTCAAGTATTTTTGTGTATGTTTGTGAATGACACTTGAGCACCTGGAAACGCACCTCTGTGGATATCACATCACAAAAACCCTCTTTGAACCTCTCCCCAGATTGTCGTTGAAAAGACGGCCCCCCCAAACGCTTTCTTCTCAGATGGTCAGGAGGGGTATGCAGCCCACGCCAACCCCTCCCTCGTGGCACACCATCGGGGCCATGAATGTCCAGCGGTTTGTCTCCGGGTCATACATTTCTACCGAGCTGAGGTTGGACTGTCCGTCGTAACCCCCCACCGCGTAGAGACGGCCACAGTTTGCAACGAGGGAGACGCGGCTCCTCCGAGTGTTCATAGGGACGATCAGGTACCACTGATCCGCCATGGAGCTGTAGACTTCGGCGATGCTGAGGAAGCCAGAGCCGTCGTAACCTCCGCAGACGAACATCTTGCTGCCCAGGGAGGCTGCTCCGTGGCGGCAGCGCTTGTTGAGCATGCTGGCGACCGGGTGCCAGGTAGCCGTGTGATGGTTGTAGTACTCCACCTGCAGTCACAGAGAGCAGGCGGCGTTAGGGGACCCTCGCTCGGGACCTACCGCGCGGCACAGATCACGCAGACTGTGTCAACACGCAACTGCAAGCCGGCCGGGGAACTCGGGTTTTGTTTCTTGATTTCATACAACCATATTTCCTATCATTAAGCTTAGTCTGACATCCTGGATCTCACCAGCCGTTGCGTTTCACCCTGCTCCCTCCGACCTCAGCCCAGTAACTTGCTGGTGAGCTGGAGCAGGTGAAGACCACCCTCCCCACCTGATATGCTGCAGAGACCACAGTGAATGCAGCTTTGAAGATGTTCCTCTACCCCTCTGCCCTTTCATCAGCTTCTGTGTGGTGTTTTAAACAGGTGTCTGAGCCTCAGCACCAAAAGGACTGAGCACTCTTCAATTAAAAGTTCAATTGCCACAGGTTTGTGTCTTGATTTCAAGGTATTAATTCCCCTCATGCACACAAGATCGTGCCGCTGCCCCAAGGCAGAACCAGCCAAAGCTCTGTCAGACCCACGAGGTGCATGTCAAAGCTGTCCTTAATGATGCCCTAAGTGTCCCCTAACCCTAAGTGAGGGTCCCCACTCCCTCCAGGCAGCAGATTTCAGCTCAGTTCAAACTTTCCAGTTTCTCATGTCGGACAACCACCACTCCTGACACAGTTCAAGCCTATGTCCTGCACCCCGGGGCAAAGGGTTTCTTCCCTTCCTCTGCACAGTAACCTCTTCCACTTTCAGAAAAGGCTGACATCTCCTCCCTGTATATTTGTAGAAGGGCTATCTGGCACCTCAGGGGGAAAAAACCCAATCAACCACCATTTTGTATCCCTTTAGAAAGAGACCGTTAGACGGACCTCTTCTGCAAGGGCTCCTGCACTGCTCCAAACTTGTCACGCTCAGGAACGTGCTCAGACAAGCAGATTTGTAGTTCTTGGCTCTGGGGCACTTCAGGCTGCAGACAACAGCCTGCCCCTGATCTGCTGAGCAAGGTAGAAATGGTTATTGCTACTCCCAACAAACCCTTTACTACAAATTTCTGAGAGCAGTGCATTAGTGACAGACCCAACTCAGATATGGCTCCCTGCGTTCTCGCTCCCGAGCAGATGAATGAGTCTTTTCTGTTCTGCATCAGGTTTTTCTTTAGAGAACAGGCAGAGAACTGAAATGCAGAGCGGGTGGAAGAGGGCAAATGGCCTCATACCACCAACTCCTCCTGCTGTGAAGCTTGTTTCAAAGATAATCCGTTTCTGAAACTGAAGCCATCAAATAGGCACAGAAAGCAGAGGTAAAAGCCTGACATCTGGGATACTTCAGAGCTCAAAGGGACGCAATAATACAATGATCTAAAAAGTGAAGGAAGTAGGGAGACAACAGAATGCACTAACTCAATCCTTTTGGCGCTGGGGAACAAGAGCGGCACTTCCAGTCCAGTTCCCAGCAGGTACCTGGCTAGCTCATTTCTTCCTGAGCAAGGAGAAGGGCCCTGGAAATGACAGAATTTGGTGGTGCAAACACTTACGGCACTTTGGGTGCACAGGGAAAGGGCCTTCCCAGCCCCAGCCTGACCTTTCGGCTACCAGCAGTAGATTGATTTCTGCACAAGGCTTGCAGGAACCCCGCAGACTTACGCTGTTGAAGATCTGTAGGCCGTCGTGCCCTCCCGATACGTAGATCCGGCCCTCGAAGACGGTGACTCCAGCGGCGCTGCGGTTGGAGCTCATGGGGGTCACCACTGTCCACCTTGCCGGGAGAGGGGAGAAGGTTAGCAAGGGCTCCTGTGGGCACGGCACGCACACAGCCCGCGGATTATTTCAACTCGATCAGATTCTTTAGGACTGGGTTCCGGTAACTCTCCTTTCACCACTTATTTTATTTAAACGATGGTCTTGCATCCAGGTAAACTCTTGCGAGAAGGGATGCTGCTCCACTGTCAAGATATAAAGGCTTTTCTGCATCATTCACTGTGTTCCTTTTACAGCCCGGACACACAGCGGTGCCACGGCACGGCACCACCCTAGCAGCAAACAGATGGCTAAGCTTTAGGGCACGAAGAGCTCTTACTTGTTTGTTTCTGGAGAGTAGGACTCCACGGAGTTGAGGGACGAGTTTCCATCGTATCCGCCACATACGTAGATCTGGCCATCCAGCACCACTGTTCCCATGGCACTGCAACAAACAGCAGGACCCCGTGAGATGGCCGTAGGCGCTGCCACCCCGTCCACAACACAGTAAATCTGCACAGCCTGCCTTGCCCGCTGCCTGCCGTCACCTCCTTCACCCCACCCAACCTCCTCCTCTTCCCCTTGCTTCGCCCCCAGGCTGCTCAACCGCTCAATCCCATCTGAGTGCTGGGTCTCACAGGTCACCAAAGATGCTTGCGGCATGAGTGCACCCTGTTTTCCTCATCAAAGGAGCTAAACAAAAACACAGGGAGAAATTTTGACCCGGATCATGGGTGAAAATCCTAGCAATTCCAGCTTCCCACGAAGGACCTCCCCACTGGTCGGAGGTAACGCTGGTGAGGGACATCGCTGCACAGCCTCGGGAGATGCACTAGTGGCTGTCAAACGTAAAGCTCATTAAACCAAGGTGCCTGATCCTGTCATTACACCTTGTAAATCACATATTTGGCTCACAAAGGCTATCAAACGGGACGCTTCGGACAAGAGACCAGAATCCCACCTTGAAAATGTAGTCATCGAAGCTTCTCATAAAAGCTCAGCAACACAGCGATAAATCCTCAGAGATAAAACCACAGCGCTACAGCAGGAGCCAAGCAGTTTGTACAATAACTGATATTTTCCTTCACACAAGAGCATCCAACGCCTGTTCTGCTTGGCTTCAAGGCAGAACAACCCAACTGCCTCTCACCGTGGGAAAAGCTCCCAGGAACCTCATTGCTACGGAAAAAATGAGTTTTCCACTACAAATTGGAGCTTTGTGCCCAGGATTTCATGTACTCAGCCGCTTCCAGTGCGCTCTTCCCAAGTGATCAACGTCTTGGACCACAAAAAAACCAAACCAGGCAAACCACTATGGCAAAGAAGTGCTGCAAAGCTTGCAAAAAGCGAACAATTTAACAAATCTCAGCGACCAGGCATGAGCGCAAAGAAAACCGCAGCAGAAACCCTAGATGCCAGGAAGATGTTTAAACATGGAAGCAGCTACCGTGTTGTGGTGGGGAGGACACGATGACCACACAACTTAATAGGTGGGTTTTCAAAATAACGCAGGGTAAGCTCCCAAACCCAACCACAAAGCGATCTCCAGGCTGGTAGTAAACTGCGCAGCTCTCTTCATCAAGCACAAACACCTTCCACTTAGCTGTAAACTCCTCTCCCTAGATGATAAAAATACTCTTCTTCCCAGCTGTGATTCTCTTATGGGAAAGAAGATGCCAGCACTGGACAGAGATGATAAAATGGGTTTATTTGACTCCTAGCAGCATAGGAGATTCCTACGTGCTGCTCACCAGGGCTTTACCTACCATCTAGTATTGCAACATGAAGAAATGGGGCTCTGACCACCTCCTTTGGCACTCCAGTTCAAGCCCTTACAGACCTCACCAGCAGAACTTTACCACCACTCCTCCTTTTTCTTTTGCTGCTTCCCCACACATAAAATTCTCACCTGGCATCCACCACCACCCAACACCTCCAGCCTTCCCACAACCTCATTTTTTTTCCCCCCTCCTGCTCCAGAGGTCCCCTTCCCACTGAGCGAGCTGCACGTACCTTCGCTTGCTGTTCATACTTTCCACTTTCGACCAGGAATCCATCTCCGGGTTGTAAACCTCCACAGTGCTCAGCCTTAGCTGACCATCGTAGCCGCCGATGGCATAGAGCAGTCCGTTCACCACCGCTACGCCGACTCGGCTCCGGGCCGTCGTCATCGGCTGGCACTTCTCCCAGCGGTTGGCAATGGGATCAAAGACTTCCACCACATTCAGCGAGTCACCTGCATAAAAATTTGCTACTCAAATTAAAAGAGGGAGACCTGATAAAACACTGTTCCAGAAAGCTTGCTTGAAGCAGAGGCACGCGAGGGATAAGTGGTGGCTGCTCTGACCCCAAAGACTGGGCTGACACAGGGACTTTGCCTGGTCTTCTCTGGGAAAATGGCTGGGCTCTCACACGTCCTGTTCTGGACAAGTCCTCTCACAGTCCTATTCCAGCCTCCCTGCTTCCACATCAAAGTCAAGCCAGAGGCATTTCCCAGCCACATCTCTACTCACCCGCAAAGAGAGCCTGCTCTGAAAAATTCAGATAAACCGCACTCCACAATGCAGAAAGATTGCAGAGCGTTTCAAAGCTTGCCCATGCTCTGTACCGTAAGACTTGACAAGTCCTCGGCTGTGGAAGTGGGGCCTCTTATAGCCTCAAAGGGGCAGCAGAGACCTGCGATGTCACATCTGTTGGTGTTGCTGCTTCCCGGGAACGCAGCTTCTCTATAGGATAAATCAGGCGTGTTGTGGTGTGACGGGTATGAATCCCACGAGGTAGTGCCCAGCACACACCTGCTATTCAGACCCCACACCCCAGGTTAACCAGGTTGGTTGAGGCTCCAGCAGAGTTTCATGAACACTTTTTGTCCCCTTTTTATGCTCTGGCTAGGCTCATGCAGGCACGTTGTGTCTGCATGTGTGATCCCACAACCCCACCAACGTCACCTTGATAAGATCATTGTGTGAACCTCTTGAGGTTCAACAAGGC